TGTACCTTATCCTTGTTATTCATTATTACATTAATTGCATTACATTAATTGCATGCAAGACTATAGTGGGAGTAGACTAGGTATGTGGTGTGACTGAGTTGTTATCATTCTTTCTACACGAGAAGGTTTGGCAGTGATGCGTGTTGGTCATTTCACTAAATTCACTCATAAAGCTTTGAAAACTGCTTTTCCTTGAATGCAGTAGCTATACATGTAACACAACACCAGTGTAAAATGGTTCACTAGTGAATATAACTGAGCTAATTATACCTTATCCTTGTTATTCGGCATTATTACATTAATTACAAGACTATAGTGGGAGTAGACCATATATGGTATGTGGTGTGACTGAGTTGTTATCATTCTTTCTACACGAAAAGGTTTCACTGATGCATGCGGTTAATGGAGCGTATCATGCACACAGCAGCACACTCTGAGTTTGTACCAAATTTGATCATTTCACTCATACACTGCTTTTCCAGGAACACAGTATAGCAGTTAGAAGACTAACTAGGTGAATGCAAACACTGAAAGGGCGAGCTGATTTGTAACCTGTCCTTATTTTTTATCCATATCTAGGCTTTTAACTTGCAGCTCGACTTGCAGGGAACGCCTTTTAATTTTTTAATGAGGCGTGGCTCAGGCCTAGATTTTTTAAATGGCAAAACTTGTAAGATCTTCATTGAGGTCTTATGTGGAGGGTGTCAAAAAAGCCATTGCTCTTAAACCGCTTGATGACAGTGAGAAACTGATGCTTTGGGACCTGAGGGATGAAGATTGTGTTAATGAGTGGGAATGTATTAGTGATGAAGAAAAAGGAGGAGGCTCTAAAGCCACTTTTAAGTCAAATAAAAAAGGTATTATATAAAATTTTCTGATACACATACATGTTTTTATGTTGCGTTGAAATTTTAAGCTGACTCTGATCAAAATTAAAATTACTTAAAAATTGGCCAAAGACCTGTACTATATGCATGTGCATGTAGTACTATAATTCCCCTAAAAATTTGTCACATTAAATTTGTATTTGTAATTTTTAAAAATGAATTTTTAGAGGGAGAGTAGTTATGAAGCTTTTAAATTATTTTGTCAAATTAAATGTAGGAGGGATTCATTAATACACAACACCAGCTGTACGCTAACCTGGCTATTCAGAGTATCCTTCTCTCGTATTGAACTTAGAATAAATTATGGTAGAAAATTTGAAATAATTATAAATTACATGTATGGTAGAAAATTTGAAATAATTATTTATTTTCGAATTTAGAGCGTTGAATATTTAGAGGAATTACGTGTACACAGTATTTTGTCAAAAAATGGCTAAGAGAGAATTTTCCATTTTAATAATTTTTTTCTGATGCATATACATGAATTTATGTGGTGTAGAAAGTTTGAGCTGATTCTGATCAAAATTAGATTTGTAATCAATTTTTGATACTGTTATTATTATTATTATTATTATTATTATTATTATTATTATTATCATTATCATCACTATTTATTAGGTACGGGCTCTGTCTTTGAAGGTGTTTTAAATACTAGCATTAAAAACACAGAGCTGAAATACAGTGGATATTGTGCCATTAGATCAAAGCCAGTAAAAGTAAGACACACACTCTACAACACACCATTGCATTGATACACTGTTCAGTATCGCAGCTTAGATTAAATGAAAATGGATCGAAAAGACGTCTCAGAATTTGATGCTTTTGAGATTCAAGTGAGAGGAGACGGATGGAAATTCTTTGCTAACATTCATGCTCCAGGACTAGCGACCAGGGCAGATAACTTGTGGCAATACTTCATATTCACTAGGGGAGGCCCAGAATGGGAGGACATTATAGTAAGCTATGCTGCATTTTTGATTACCGTATAGTGCTTTATTTTGACAGCGCTTTATTTTGATAATTTTGCTGTAAAATTATAATTGGCAGTTTTTTAATTTGGCAATTTTTTTGTGTACACGTGCATTACTGAGCATGAGCATTAGTGATTAGTGGTTTTAATATTGGCTATTCCACTTGCAAACCACCAATTGCCATATAAAACTTTGCCAAATTAAAGTGCTATTATGGTATGTACATGTACATGTACTTTAAAATAGACCTCTTACAAACGGTATTTTTATAATCTTGCATGCATGTGAAATTGTGAATAAATTAGAAGAGATGTTTAATAGTGATTTGCTTGTTACACAATGTACAACATATCTGCAGTTTTACTATAAATATTTATTATTACCTTTAATCTACATGTACATTGTATTATGCTCCATTTTTGATTATGTGCTTCAAGAAAGACCTATGCATGTGAATAAACTAGAAGAAATGAATAGTGATTTGCTGATTACATATCATTAATTTATAATCCTTTTCTATTTTAGCTTCCTTTTCATAAATTCTTCCTGACTCACCGTGGCTATTTTCAAGATCGTCAAGTCGTCTTACCTTTAAAATCTATCGCAACATTTGGCCTGTTAGTAGCTGATAGAGTTAATGGGCCATTCAAACTCGAGATACAACACATAAAAGCAGTCCGATGTAAAGAAATACATGCAGAGGCATCAGAAAAAAATCTATTTGATTACTGAAGAATTATGATTTATAATAAAGAGAACTTGCTATATCAATGTAATATTAGTTTGATTTGAGTCATCATGCAGATCTATACTTTCTAAATTAATTATAACAGCAAAAAATTGTGACTATAATTAAGTAATTAAATTCGTCTTTATATAGAGGAAAAAATCCAACTTCCTGTGCTCAATTGATACAAAAATTGGTGCACAAGATGCAAAAAGTTTTATGTAGCTTTTGCAAACAATGCTCTTCTAAAAGAACAAACACAAGTTGATATTAATTTTTCTTAAATAATCAGCCAAATGTTTCCCTTTGTCAATCATAGTCACAATTTTTGAAGATTAAGACAAAAATGCATGTGTGGAGCCGTTTTACTTGGAAATTAAAAAATTCCAGCAAGCTTCACATAATTTTATGGACAGATCTACTACTGAAGACAGTTTCTGCTTGTTTTTAGTCTTGTATACTAGTAGTTGCCAACCCTGCTTCAACAAGCATTAGTCACCTGTATCATCAAAATACACCAATTTAAAGTAAGGTGACTCAAATGTGCACTACCAATTTAAAGTAAGGTGACTCAAATGTGCACTTACCCATACCAAGTGTCAATCATTAATATTATTTATTTAATAGTAGATTTATAGATGTTCTACTATGAATAATCATGCTGCATCAATTGTCAATTTTGTAAAGTAAAAATATTATTACATGTGAATTAAGTTTTAATTTAGATTAGCATGTGAAAAATTTTTTTACTACAACTGAAACTCAAACAACTGAGAAAAACTAGATAGTAATGGCAAGAGTAACCACACCACAAATAAAAAAGAAAATACTGAAATAGAATAATAAGCAACAGCAAGAGTACATAACACCTAAAGCATATATATATATACATAATAATAATGGCAGCAGTCAACACAGTAAGGATTAAATGAACCAATTAAAGGCATGCAACAATTATAATCAAGTCTTCATTCTTTTCAATGACTCTATTACTTGAGCCATAGTAGGACGCTCATTACGTTTAGCACGAATTCCTCTTTGTATGAGAGACTTCATATCAGACCAAGAGACACTATCAGATTGAACTTTTCTCTCTGCTGTTGTCATTCCTGGTGGACAACGTAAATTCATTTCCATAAGGAGAACAGAGTAACTGTATACATCCATTGCTGGACTGTGTTGATCAGGATCACGAGCCTCTGGTGCAGCATATGCAGTATTGCCTGGCATAACAGTACCAGTACTAGTGCCTTGTTGCAATTTAGCTGCACCATAATTTGCTACTTTGGCTTCATAACCACCAGGTCCAGTGCAAGGCTTTAATAATACGTTAGGACTGCTGACATCTCTGTGAATAATAGGCAGAGGCTTAAAAAGGTGAAGGTAGTTGAGGGCTAAAGCTACATCTTGGGCAATACTATGAATCTGATGATTGGTTAATCGGTTTCTTTGCAGCTCCTGATAAAGATTAGTGCTCATCAGCTCGGTCAAGATAAGAGGATTTCCCACTTTAGTTGCACCAATAAACTGGACCAGGTTAGGATGACGTACTTGTGATGCTATATTCATTTCCCTGGAGAAGATACCTCTATTATAATCTGAGATGATGATCTTATGAAGTGACTTGACAGCTACTCTTAAACCTCTAAAGATACCAACTGTAACAACAGCATAAGATCCTCTTCCTAACTCTTCCTTTGTCAAAGTCACCTCATCTTTATCATTAATAACCCAGTGATCATCAGTAAGTGCTTGTTGCTGGAGCCTACGAACAGCCTCTTCAGACTGGCGTAGCTCCCTATCTTTCTCTTGTAGCTCTCTATCTTTTCGTTGTAGTGCCTCCTGATTCTCCTGTAGCTCCAGCATTACCACCTGATGCTCCCTATCCTTCTCCTGTAGCTCCCTATCCTTCTCCTGTAGCTCCCTATCCTTCTCCTGTAGCTCCCTATCCTTCTCCTGTAGCTTCCTATTCTTCTCCTGTAGCTCCCTATCCTTCTCCTGTAGCTTCCTATCCTTCTCCTGTAGTTTCCTGTCCTTCTCCTGTAGCTCCCTATCCTTCTCCTGTAACTGCTTATGATATCTTTCCTCTTTCTCTGCCTCCTTTCTTTTCTTCTCTTGTAGCAAATGGCAATATCTTCTTATTCCTTGATCTTTCTCTGCTTCTTCTTTTTCTTTCTGCTCAAGTTGTTGACAATATATGTGTGCTTCTCTTTCCTTGTCCTTTTCCCTCTCTTCAAGACTCTGAATAAAAGTTAGCACAGTTTGTTCAGCATCAGCTGTATCTTTTCTTGATTTCTGGTACTCCTCCAACCATATTCTTCTTCCTGCCTGTAGTTGCTGCTGATACTTCTTCTTGTAGTATTCACTAGTCATCAATTTAGAATCATAAGTATCACCAACCAGACATCCTCCATTACTGTGGTGAACTATAATGATTATAAAAATGTCAGTAAAAAAACAGTGAACTAATCAAACAATAATATTAGCATTGCCATACATTATCAAGTAGCATTAGTAGCATTTGTGCATTTATATAATTATAGTTTACTTATAGCTGGTATAATTTGAAAAATGATTATAGAAAGCAAGTTACCAACTGTCCTAGAATGTCCGGGACAGGGGACACTCCTGGATATACTAATGTTGTCCTAGAGGGCAGGGGCATAGCTGCTACACCACTGCTAGAGGGGTCTCAAATTGCTCTCATGTCCTGGAACTGCCATTTTTACAGTCACACCCGAACCTAGTCTTGTGAGACCAGACTCAATTTTTAGAATAGAGTCTGGTTTCATTCCTAACATTAATTCGTGCTTGTTTGGCGGAATTTGGTCGACCCAATGAAATCACTGTTACTATGGTTACATTGGAACCTGCCCACGCATGGTAAGTCTATTATTAAAAGTGGAACCATGGTGGAACTTACTGAGCTATTATACATTCTTTCTATGACTATAACTGCCAACTGGATTTCCTTTAACTAGCTGCTCTGTTTAGTAACAGAAAGTTGGCAACTATATGCTAAAGTACACAACAAGTCTGACAATGGCATGCAGAAAAGCATTAGACAAAATACAATAAACAACTTGGTGCCTGTCCTATGCCTGAACATTAATCTTAACACAAGAAACAACATGTCATGCTTATAAAGTCTCAAATTTTTTATGTTCATAATGAAAAATCATAAATCATACACTCACCTAATTCAGTTAACATAGCAGTGCTATCATCAGTAAACCCTCCAGCAGTTATTATCCAAGTACAACCAGGACTCATGATGAATACTGAGAGAGAATGGCCCCATCTCTTACTAACAGAGTGAGGTACATCTAACTGTTAATAGAAATTAATTAATAATTTACATGTATCTCACTGTACATACCTTTATCCAGGAATGTTGAGTGATGTTAAAGATCCAACAGTCATCTAATATATCATTATTCTCATCCAACCCACCACTTATCACTAGCATTGGACTGTCTGATGCAGTTATAATAATAGCACCTGCATGATAGGATCTACCCACAGGCCATTGGTCTATTTTTTCAGGTTTCTTTATACACTCCCAGAACTAATAAATAATGATACCAATTAACAATGACATTAGTGTGTGTGTGTGTGTGCGTGTGTGTGCATACATTTAGTATACACATAATTTAACATACCACAGTATTGATTGATATCTCTAATATATAAATATTGTTTGTAAAAGTCTTTGCTCCACCGGCAAACAGAACAGCTCTAGTGTTGTTGATCTTTTCAATGATGAAGCCAGAAGAAGAGGGTATACACTGACCAATGATTGAAGGATTACTCCATTTTCCTAATTAAAATTAATAATTTCAAACAATAATATTAATAATTCACTTGATGATATATCATAGATTGAGTGCTCATTAGTACGCCAATTTCCATTAGTTAACTTATTATATTTATAATAAGGTAGTTGTACAGCTGGTTTAGAACCATACCCTCCTATCATTAGTAAATGGTGTACTCCATCATGTTCAAATGATATCATTCCACCACCAGATCTCCTCATAACTGGTCTAGTTGCATCAGTTAGTTCTAATTCTCTCCATTGAAGATTAACGGTATCCAGTAGTGTAATACTGTTGTGATAGCAGTTGTCATGGCCACAATAGCCCCCGAAATAATACAATAAATCATTTATTGCAGTACAGCAGTATTCAATCACTCCTAATGGAGGAGTACCAGTAGTACCTCTAGTGACCCATTGACCAGTTGAAGGAGTAAAGTGCTGTATATTGCTAGTGATCCTTCTCTTCTCTTCACTATCATGTACTTTAGGTAAACCATCCTGATCACCACCCCATACTACATACAGTGAATCACCTACTGATACAGCGCGGTGAAACTTGTTTGAGATTCTTCCATTCAGTTGATCTATGATTATCAATGATTGACAGTACATGAATTTAATTTACTGAAAGTTTGGGATAGTTACATTGCTTACTTTTAACTCCACTTTTAGAAGCCATGATAGCTCAGACTCAGGAATGATAATTCTAGGGTTTGTAAAAACGAAAATAGAATTGCTGACGTCATACTGCACCGGTACAGGTAGTCCGGATCCGGCCGGTACCTACCCACCCACGTGTCACGTTTTATTATTACAATTTACGGTACGTGTTTATCAAGAGTGGCCATTCAAACTCAAGATACAACACATAAAAGCAGTTTGATGTAAAGAAATACATGCAGAGGCAATCAAAAAAAATTTGATTACTGAAGAATTATGATTTATAATAAAGAGAACTTGCTATATCAATGTATTATATATTAGTTTGATTATGAGTCATCATGCAGATCTATACTTCATAAATTAATTATAACAGCAAAAAATTGTGACTATATTTGACAAAATGTACCTTAGGCTTATGGCGAGTAATTAAATTCGTCTATAAAGAGGAAAAAATCCAACTTCCTGTGCTCCATTGATAAAGAAATTATTGCACAAGATGCAAAAAGTTCTTATGTAACTGTTGCAACCAATGCTTTTCTAAAAGAACACACACAAGTTGATATCCGCCAAATGGTACCTTTTTCAATTATAGTCACAAGTTTTGAAGATTTCACATGGAGGTTTAATTTTGAAAAATTATTATTAATAAATTAAATAATCCGCTAAATGGTACCTTTTGTCAATTATAGTTACAATTTTTGGAGACTAAGACAAAAATGCATACATGCAGCTGTTTATGCTTCACATGGAGAAGGTTTAATTTAAAAAGAAGCAAACTATTTATTATCATGGCAGTATGGAGGCTGTTCAACAGTATTAATATCAAAAGTGTATCTAGAGTCCCAGTCTCTCTCGAAAACAAGCTTCAGTTCTTCTGGTATTGATAGTGAATCAGGATCAGTTATATTAGGTTTTTTGACAATACAACTGACACCACCAGTGGATATAAAGTAATCCCCTGACCAGTTTGATGTGCCTGAGGGGAAAGAAATAAAAAGAAAAGAGAGAATTAGAGAAGGAAAAAAGAACTAGTAAAATGGACCAAGAAAAATAAGAGAGATTAATTAAGATGTACAGTGTACACATTAGTGATTGGTATGTTAGCACAGAATGAGAAACAAATGGTGAAAGAGAGAGAGAGAGGATGGCCATATATTAGAGAGTATTATTATTATTATTATTATTATTATTGTATTATTATTATTATTATTATTACTACTACTATACAGTATAGACATGTACCTATGTGTTGGTGTATATACCATAATCAGAACATATTGAAATGTACAATGTAGTGAGTGGACCACATACATGTAAAGTGTATTACTAATCATATACATTAATACTACACTACACATGTACGTACATGTAGATGCATTGAAGTATACAGCTCTTCTATTACTTACCAACATAGGCAGCTTTATCAGTGACCATGTACTTGTTATGATTGACTCTTGTGTATGGGATCTGAGTGTCATTCAGTGGCGGAACAACAAAGTATTTCTATTAAAAATATACGTTAATAAAAATGTTTCATAAATACGATCAAAATAATATATTTAAATGGGTATCTGTTTATACATATGTGTATTTGTCATATCTCTTTTAACTATAGATGCCTACACAATTATGCCATACATTATTCTGCCTTAAACACTTCACCATAAAACCACTAGTTTTAATAGATACTCTCTGGCTGTGTTTACACAGCAACGCTAACGATACACAATAGCTTTTACTCCATTATGGCTAGATCTATTAGCAGTTATAACAACAGTCATACTATTTTGTGGTGTAGCTATCTCCACTGAAGTGCAAGTACTAGTTTATTGGGCAAAGCCCACTCTGGTGAAAAAATTTCTGTATCTATGTAAGTACGTGCATTTAGGAGCGTGGCTGGAAGGTAGAGCCCACTAAATATTTCACATTCTTTCTAGTATCAATAACCCAGAGTGAAGCAGTGATGGAGAGCCCTGTTAAAGCAAATCCTAATACAGATGATGCGATATACGAAATGATGGAACAACCAGCATTTCATCAAGAGCAACATCAACATCAGCTTCCACCCAAAAGAAAACACATTGAGGATAAACGGCCACTTTGTATAGTGATATGCCTTTCTACAGTTATACTGCTAGTGCTTACCATTTTAGTGGGTATGTGTGGTTTCATAATATCACAATCATACCCTACTGAATGCACCAGTACTACAGCTACTACTGCGAGTGTTCTTAATGCTGATACTACTGCTATTGATGTGAGTAGGTTGGCTGTGAGTATTTCTGAAGTATTACTTGAAGTTCGTGAC